TCTCACGCATCCAGTCATCCTCCACTCAGTCACTGTGTTCTCTTTTGCTCTTCCCAGCAAACCACACACATGGTCTTAGAGCATCAAATAGACGTCCTGCTGCTTCTTTCTTTGTGCCCTGGCCAGCTGTCCCAGAGGAGTGTTTTATTCTTTCATGAGATTTTCCCTCTCAGCTTTCTCTTTACTTGATTTGGAAAAGCGGAATCTGGTAAAAAGGGAGAGAATCATTCTCTGCTGGGCCAAAGCTGAGACTTTCTTACATTCCTGATACTTCTACTTCTCCTGGGTGGTGGTAAGGATGGTTCACCCTGGAGCCAGGGCAGTAACAGAAAGAAGAGCCCCAGTCCACACACAATGGCAAGGATCATATCCATCACAAAGGTAGTGCAGCTGGGGCTCAGCCATGTGGCACTAAGGCTTTTCAGAGGAATGAGAAAATTCTCCATCTTCTAATCCCAGTGTTGCTGTCAGGCAACTGAGTCCTGAGAGTTCTCTCTAGGAATACAGGGAGGTCCCATGCCTGCATCACAGATCTGTGGCCTCTTCATCACAAAGGGTTCTTGGAATGGAGGAGAGGCAAAGAGAAGAGGCTCCACCACCGCCTCCCCCACTCTGCAGGACAGTGGATGCTGCACCTTCCTGGGGCTTCTCGATCCCTCTTCTGCCTCCCCCTGCCCAGTCATTCAGAGACAGACCTTTCCTCAGTCCATCTTCCATTCACTAATCCTGGAACTCAGATTACTTATTTCTTTGCTGGAGGTCTAGTGATCTTTGAGCCCCTAAAAGTGTGATTTTTCCCTGTCATTTCACTGTTGTCAGGGATTCATAAGCTCAGGAGCTTTGTTATCTTCAATGCCAGATTTTCATTTAATGTCTATCACATCAATGCAGTGACAGAACTTAAATTTCTTATATACTTGTTTTTGAATTTTGAATACTGTTCTTAGAGCAGAACTTGGAGACAAACTTAACCTTTCTCTCCCTCTACAAAATCTTCCCAGCTCCAGAAAAGCAACTCCTCCAACATCCCCTCCCTCAGCAATGCAGACTTGTGCCTTTTCACTGTGGTCCTGGCTTTTCTCACTGATAAGGGAGACAGTTCAGTTCTCTAGTAGGAATGCCTCCCTTTAGAGGGACAATAGTGTGGA